TTACAGGCAGTCTTGAATATAAGGGAAAAAAGGAAAATGAAGATGAGGGATGTCGAATCAGAGCAGCACTCAGGTTGGGGGGTTCTGTCTCAGGCGTGTTTCTGCCTGATCTGAATACGAGGAAACAGACGGCACTACGAATATCCACCTCTTCAACATCCTGCAGAGCCTCCCTCTCCTCTGGGATCTGTCATTTTTCTCCATCAGGTGAGTATCTGAGGAAAATCACAGAGACCTTGTGTAAAGTTACAGCTGGAACTGTGACTCTAAATGTGGAGTGGGCCTGTTTGATCTGATGCAGGAGGCTCTAACCTGACTGGACTTCACACCATGTCTTCCTGCTCCTCTGTGTCTTCTGTCTCTGCTGCAGTTTCTGAAAAGTTATCACGCATAAAACCAGAGTCCAACTGATGGGGAGAAAAGACAAAATGGGCTCCCATTCATTACACCTGTATGTATTTTAAGATTGTATCAAAAATGTATTAAATCATTCTTCGAAAGTGGGTTACTTGTTTCGGGGTCAAATGCATTAGGAGTTTCTAATTCAGAAAAGCCGTGTTTAAAACATTAGTTCAACCTTCTTCACTTATATAATTTACCCGCCAATTTATAATTGTGACAGAGTTTAAGTTTTGTCAACAGGTCCGCTCTCACTCACCTCTATCGCTACATGTTCATGTGCTTCAGTGGTGGAGCGCAGAGCTTTCTTCCTTGATTGAGTACAATAATACAGAATACATTGAGTGAAACATAAGGATGCTAGAAAGGAAGAAACATGTTGAGTGAACTGACAGATTTATTTTAGTTGTACCTCATCCACAGACCCAGGAGAAACACAGGAATCAGCATAAAGACCACCAGAGTTGTCCTGATGATATTGTTGAACTCCCTAGAAACATGAACACATAAGTGATAGGTCTCCCTAGTAGATACATCTCTTTGTCAGTGTCATCCACCTCTGACACCATGGAGGTTCCTCCCTGAAAACTGCCATTGTTAATATGCATGGGTTGCTGCATATTACAATTTGAATCAGGTCTAGTGCAGGTGATTGCATCAAACTTACAAGAATCAGATGAAAGGTCGAGTTACGATTAGATATTGTGTTCTGGGCTCTGAAGTCAGTGATGTTGAAGATCTGTCCTGAAGCTTTTGGAGAGTCTTCATTCTCCTTGTACCAGGTGTAGTAAGCTGCTGGGTTAGCATCTTAGCAAGTCACGTGACACTACGTGACGTCACATCCCCTCCCCCCCCACTCTCGGGTGGACGCGCTCTCCGCCCTGGTCTGGCGGAAATACTGATGTCTACTTACTTCCACATTTCTACACATGAAAATTGTTTCTAGCAAATGTGCCTTTCACACAACTCTAATCCACTTATTTTGGAATGTGACCTGTTTCTACACTCCCCAGATTCCTGACATGTGATAATGTAAGTGTAGATGTACAGTACCTTGAACATAGAGAAGGAAGACAACTAATCCACCCGCTGCTGAAGTTAAACTCATAGCTGTTCCTCTTTTATCTGTGAGAATAGAAAACATAAAATAAAACCTTTTCTGTATAGCACTTTTCATACACAAAGGTAACTCAAAGTGCTACCAGTGATGCAAACGCGGGTATGGTGAAAAAAGAGAGAACTATTCGAAGCAGAAAAAAAACTGCGTAATATAGCATCTGAGCATCTGCCTGTGCTATAATCCTTCAATGAACTGGCTATTCTTTATAATATACTCAGATCAATAGGAGACAGAGATGTTAAGTTATAAATCAAGGGTTTTTATTATTATTTACAGCAGGGGTGGGGAACCTTTTTCCTTTCAATTTGTACAACATCCTCCGAGGGCCGTACAAATTATTGAACACAACCTCTGCTTCTACTAAAATCACAGCCCATTCATTTGGCCTTTCTTTCATGCTGTGCAAAGAACAATCAACCTCTTAATCCAGAGATCTCACCATGACTCATGTCTGACGCATGCATGCATTCACGTGCACGTTGTGTCATGACCACCAAAACAGAAAGATATGGACACAAGATGTGTGCAAATGTATTCAGTAATCCTATCCATGTGAACATGATTTAAGTGTGGGGGGGGGACCTAACCTCCTCCAGGGGGGTCCGGGGGTANAAATATAAGTTCATACTCATCCCCAAAGTATGTCTAAAAAAAAAAAATGATTTCGTCCATCAGTTCATGAGTTATACATTTGTCATGTTTTTGGCGCCCCCTATTGTCCAAAATGAAAATGACTTGTTGTGCCTACTCCCCAATACAAACTGAACCTTACCACCAAAATGTGTGTTTTTTTGGTACATTGTTGATGAGTTATGAGCATTTCTGTCCCGCCTTTTTGCGAACACGTTTAGAGTAATGACGGCCACATTTATTGACTGAACATGCTCATTTCCTACGATGATGTGTCTGACTCTCCAGCGATGCTGTATACTGAGTTTGGTGTTGAAATTTTTTTTTTTAAATGTTAGTGAATATTTAACTGTTTTTGAAATTATGCTAATTAAAAAAAGTAAAGTAGGCGGAGCTTAGGGGTTCAAGGAGATTATATGTAGAGCAGGTCCACCCGAATAAGTGTGCACAGTTTCAGGTCATTCAGAGTTACGGTGCGACTTTGTACATCTTTCCAAAAATGGAAATGGCCATAGGTGGCGCTAGAGAGCATGCTGGACAATTTGAACACATTGAGTATTGTCATACTGATATTCTGTACAAACTGTGAAGTCCACTGAGACAAATGTAACATTTGTGATATTGGGCTATATAAATAAACATTGATTGATTGATTGATTGATTGATCGATTGGTTGATTGATTGATTGATTGATCGATTGGTTGATTGATTGATTG